ATGGCATAGTGACTGGAGTTCAGACGTGGCTCTTCCGATCTCCCCAAAACCCCAAAACCCCTAGAGTTAAAATTCCTATGAAAAATGTGGTAAAATTAAAGTGATTATATTTTTTAACTTAATTTATACAATAAATAATAAAAATGAACTCAAACTCACAATCAGACTTAACTAGCAATCAAACCCCTAAGTAGCAAGTGAACCCGTTTCTTATATAGCACTCTTAGACTTAAGAATAGCAAATACTTTTCAACCTGAGCTAAAGCAATCAAAATGAAATAAATACCTTTCACAATATCAAACCATAGAATAGTTAGATAATGAATCCAGAGCCATACCACACTCACTTTGATAGTGATTTAGTCTATGCATCATAAAACTAGTTGAATATAAACTTTAACTCTCATTCATAGCAACCTATCAATAACTAAATGAGCGATTAGCTTTGCTAAAATTGTCTTGTAGGCACTGTTTCCTTCTATATAGTGGATTAGGATAAGAGACTATGCGAGAAGTGCGCGGTGAATGAGATCTATAAGAACGAATCATATGAGAAAATAGTTGAAAAGGTTTGGAATAAGGTCAAGAACATAATGATTTTAAGAAAGAAAGTATGCTAATCAATCAACCATCAGCTGCAAATTTAATAATCTCTACAAGAAGCTTAATTGCTGTTGAAATAGCAAAACAGTGCAAATAGTTAGAATGCTACTTTGTTACAGTAGAAAACCATGCTTTTCCAAATGCAATAGAGGAATACTGTAATTAATGGGTAGAGTTTGCCATAAATAGGCGGAGTGGATCTGCCAGGGCAACTCAATAATTTAGCTGGTAATAATAGTCTAGGTTAAAGCAACAGCAATACTTAAGGGGTAGGCAGTGGAAGTGGTGCATTGTTTGGGAACATGAATATAAATTAGGAATCGCTTATCAATAATAATAACACTGGTGTTATGTTTAAGAATACCAAATTCAATCAAAATTAGAACAACTTCTCTCAACAGATGCAATAGGATTAGTAGAATGATGTGGATATGAATATAGAGAGACTAAACTTATTCTATGACTTGCTCTAGATAGAAATAGAAAAGCTCAGAAGGAAATCTATAGACGATATAATGCTTAATGCTAAGGCTTAATAAAGGTACTAAGCTACCTAGCAATAGCATTAGCAAAACTAGCAAACTAATTAAAATATAACTGGATAGCCTGTAAATATAAATAATAGCCCGAATGCAGCAATTTAAAAAGAATCATTCTAATGAAGCTGGGATTTTAAATGCAATTATAAATAATTAAGATCTTGTTATCGTTTCCAACACAATTTTTTAATATCCGGGGTTTTGGGGTTTTGGGGTTTTGGGG